CACCCCATCACCCCCTCCCCTACACCCCAGCCCCTCACATCACCCCTCCCCTACACCCCCAGCCCCTACATCACCCCTCCCCCACACCCCCAGCCCCTACATCACCCCTCCACCCACCCCCAGCCCCTACATCACCCCTCCCCTACACCCCAGCCCCTACATCACCCCTCCCTCACCCCCAGCCCCTACATCACCCCCCCCCTACCCCAGCCCCTCACCCCACACCCCCCAGCCCCTACACATCACCCCCCACCCCCTCCCCCTCCCCACACCCCCAGCCCCACATCACCCCTCCCACACCCCCAGCACCCCCCTCCCCTACACCCCCCCCCCATCACCCCCCCCCCCCCCACCCATCACCCTCCCCACACCCCAGCCCCTACACCCCCAGCCCCTACACCCCCAGCCCCTACATCACCCCAGCCCCCACACACCCCCAGCCCCTACATCCCCCAGCCCCTACACCCCCCCAGCCCCTACATCACCCCTCCCACACACCCCCCCCCCACCCCCAGCCCCTACACCCCCCAGCCCCTACATCAGCCCCCTCACCTCCCCTCCCAGCCCCACACATCACCCCCCCATCCCCCCCCCCTAGCCCCTACATCACCCCCTCCCTACCCCAGCCCCCAGCCCCTACACCCCACACCCCCCAGCCCCTACATCACCCTCCCCACACCCCCCAGCCCCTACATCACCCCTCCCCTACACCCCCAGCCCCTACATCACCCCTCACCCTACACTCAGTCCCCCTCCCGTGTCCAGATAAGCTACTGTAATGATTCGTAAGTCACTCTCTTTCATCATTAGCTCAACACAAGAGTCTCAGTGTAATTCTGATGTCATTCTCGTGCAGGATCACCTGAAGATTAACCACCCTAACGATAACCCAACCTAACGCTAACCTAACCTAACCAAACGTAATCTAACCCTTCCTGGAATAGTGTGAGTTTGATTAATCTTCGAGTTAGACAAACTAGGGGTGTGTTATCTTCAGGTGAACTCTCGTACTGTTAAAATAACCGCTTGGTGTTGTTATATCATCATGTACACACTCACGCTGGTTCAACTTTCTACACCAGCCAAGCACTGTCTCCTGATATTGGCGTCACATGTTTGTTATGGTGTTGTGTTGTTGGCGCCGGACCAGACGAGAGGGGCTGTTGTCAGTCAGTGAAAGTGTTGAGGGAGGGGGGTAGCGGTAGGGAGAGAGTGAATCACATACGGTGTTGTTCAGTAGATGATAGTGTGATCAGGGAACACATCTGGAAGGTGTTGTGTTCCCGGCGACAGTTGAGAGCCAGTCATTGTGTTTATTTACATTACGTCACACTCTCCCGGAGGCTGACGACCAATCATTTACCGTATATATCTTGTGGTGGAAGTGCGTTACGTCACTCCCGGAGGCTGGAGACCAATCGTGGGGGGAGGAAGTGCATTACGTCACTCCCGGAGACTGAAGACCAATCGTGGGGGAGGAAATGCATTACGTCACTAGTAAGCTGATGGCCAATCGCATGAAGACATAAGCATTACGTCACTACCTTGTATAGTACTTTACTAACCAATATGGTCACGGTAGACTCATCACTTAACCTGTTATTAGGGAGTTTATGTTACGTGGCTAGTAATGATGTGGTTTGGGGATGACGTCACTTGTTTGTCGACCAATTACAGCCATTCAGACCTACAATACGTCATACCTCCAAAATTTATTTCTAGATTACATCAGAGTATCAAGTCATTATATATTATGTCAATTCACTAGAAGCTTATTACTAACGATGATAAGTGTATTACGTCACAGCGACAGTGTATTAAGTAGCCAATCATGACTCGACATAGGAATACCGTTTCACCTGCATCGTTCACTCTCATCTTTAGTGGTCATATCGGTCAGTAACTTCCTGGTGTGTGTGTGTGTGTGTGTGTGTATGTCGCTAAAGCTTGAGAGATACAAGGAATACAAGGAAACAGCTTAATTCCCCTAAAGTTTAACAACCCTAACCTAACCTAAGAGGAAGCAGAAGAGAGATACACTGTTATTCTACTATAGTTACTTCTATATTTACCTTTTGATAGTGAACGTCACCAGAGAGTAAGAAAAGTGAACTGAATAAGTGGGTAAGTAAGTGGGCGAGTGGGTGAGTGAGTGGGCGAGTGGGTGAGTAAGTGGGCGAGTGGATGGGTAAGTGAGTGAGTAAGGCACAACACACAGAAGGGGAGGAACGTGCCCACCCTTGGGTACTCCATTAGACTGGGAACCGTCATGTTGTAATGCTAAATTCTGTGCATCACCTTTTGAAAGTCCACTGTCGGTAAGCTGCTGGCGCTAACAATACCAAGAGTAGACACATTCTCTCTATTTACCGCCAATCATTCACACATGTTGCTGTAACACTCACTCTCCCTGCTGTAACACTCACCCTCCTTCCTGTAACACCCATTCCCCCTACTGTAACACTCACCCTTCTTGCTGTAACACACCCTTCTTGCTGTAACACCCATCCTCCCTGCTGTAACACTCATACTCCCTGCTGTAACACTCACCCTCCCTGCTCCTCATACTCCCTGCTAACACCCATTCCCCCTACTGTAACACTCACCCTTCTTGCTGTAACACACCCTTCTTGCTGTAACACCCATCCTCCCTGCTGTAACACTCACTACTCCCTGCTGTAACACCCCATCTCCCTACCACTCACCCTCTTGCTGCACACCCTTCCTGTAATACCCACCTCACCCCTCTCCCTCCTGCCACTGTAACACTCACCCCTGCTGTAACACACCCTTCTTGCTGTAACACCCATCCTCCCTGCTGTAACACCCCTCTCCCTCCTGTAACACCCATTCCCCTACTGTAACACTCACCCTTCTTGCTGTAACACACCCTTCTTGCTGTAACACTCACCCTCCTGCTGTAACCTCCTCCCTGCTTGTAACACCCATTCCTCCCTACTGTAACACTCACCCTTCTTGTTGTAACACACCCTTTTTGCTGTAACACCCTCCTGCTGTAACACCCATCCTCCCTGCTGTAACACTCACCCTCCCTGCTGCAACACACCCTCCCTGCCCTCTCCCTCCTGTAACACCCATTCTCCCCTACTGTAACACTCACCCTTCTTCTGTAACACCCATCCTCCCTGCTGTTCTCCTGCTGTCACCCATCCTCCTGCTGTATAACCTCACCCATTCCTGCTGTAACCTCACCCTCCCTGCTGTAACACCCACTCTCCTCCTGTAACACCCATTCTCCCTACTGTAACCTCACCCTTCTTGCTGTACCCTTCTTGCTGTAACACCCATCCTCCCTGCTGTAACACCCATCCTCCCTACTGTAACACTCACCTTCTTTGTACACACCCTTCTTGCTGTAACACCCATCCTCCCTGCTGTAACACCCATTCTCCCTACTGTAACACCCATCCTCCTGCTGTAACACATCCTCCTGCTGTAACACTCCTTACTCCCTGCTGTAACACCTCCACCCTTCCTGCTGTAACACTCACCCTCCCTGCTGTAACACCCTCTCCCTCCTGTAACACCCATTCTCCCTACTGTAACACTCACCCTTCTTGCTGTAACACACCGTTCTTGCTGTAACACTCACCCTCCCTGCTGTAACACTCACCCTCCCTGCTGTAACACTCACCCTCCCTGCTGTAACACCCATTCTCCCTACTGTAACACTCACCCTTCTTGTAACACCCACTCTCCCTCCTGTAACACCCATTCTCCCTACTGTAACACTCACCCTTCTTGCTGTAACACACCAACACCCATCCTCCCTGCTGTAACACCCATCCTCCCTACTGTAACACTCACCCTTCTTGCTGTAACACACCCTTCTTGCTGTAACACTCCTCCCTGCTGTAACACCCATTCTCCCTACTGTAACACTCAACCCCATCACTCATACTCCCTGCTGTAACACCTAATCTCCCTCTTGTAACACCCATTCTCCCTACTGTAACACTCACCCTTCTTGCTGTAACACACCGTTCTTGCTGTAACACTCACCCTCCCTGCTGTAACACTCACCCTCCCTGCTGTAACACTCACCCTCCCTGCTGTAACACCCATTCTCCCTACTGTAACACTCACCCTTCTTGCTGTAGCACACCCTTCTTGCTGTAACACCCATCCTCCCTGCTGTAACACCCATCCTCCCTGCTGTAACACCCACCCTCCCTGCTGTAACACTCACATCTGGGACTAGTGTCAGCCATAATATATCATCCAAAATAGAATCAGGAAGCACTAAACTACAGCAGCAATAGGTAACGTCAGGCGAATGGCACACACACCCACTCACCTCGCACAGCTGAAAGTATACAGTAGTGCAGTAATGACCAACATACGGTGCACACTACGCGGCTTTAAATGGACCATTGGTGGAAGTTTTGATGAGCTTAATAGATTTTTGTTCAATGCAGCTCAGATAGATAGATAGATAGATAGATTTAGATACTTCCTCGTCACCATTATCTATCTCTCAAACTTACTTAATAATGTATATACACTTTCTTTAATTAAATTTATATAACGTTTGTATCTTTTAATGCATTTTCAGATAATATATATATATGTGGGAAGTGGGAACCCATTAAAACACGATCCCATTAAACTGGTAACCATTATTTGCAGAATATCCCAGAATAAACATTTACTAAAGTCTCCCAATCATCGACAAGTTCTTCCACAAAAAATTGAAACAAGAGAAAACTGTATCTTGGCGAGGTAGAACTATGCTAGTGAGTTAATACGTGGTTTATCGTTGAATTTATCGGTGTGTGTGTGTGGTGGGGGTGGTTGAGGCCCACAGTAACGCGACAGATACCCGGAGGTGGTGAGGTGTGTAACAACAGTTCAGGTATACAAACAATAGTAAACACTCAGCCGACTCGAACAAGGACAGACAACAAAGCCAGTATATATTGGATTATATATACCAATGAAGTGAATTAATTAAGAACGTAATGAAAATGAAACTAGAGTTACACTGAAATAATAACATTTATTTAACTTCTTGTACAACTCCCAGTGCTATGTATGATGTTACTGCTGTATGCTATAATGTATTCACTAAACCTGAAGAAAAAAATCATTGTAGCATTTAGAAATTATTATATTTATGAAAGAATATTATCAATAACATACGACTTAATTGCATTATTTTTCCTCTCAATATATGATCTACTTTGGTAACTGTTTACACTCACAAACCTACTAATAAAACTTAACATTTCAGATGATTTACAATATCATCAAACTTCAAAATATCTTCAGTAATAATAATACGTTACAACTTCAAATGGTTAAAATTATCTCATCATAAATAAGCTTATAGGAATGATCTAGAGACTTCACACCCTCTAAGAATGTTATACCATCTAACTTTTGTACACAGTCTAAGTGGCGCTCGTACTCTGGCCAGACACACAGGTCAAAATACCCGGCCGGATCTGGCGGGTCGTACTGCCGGCATTGACGACGCTCCCAACACACTTCCTTAGGTAGAGTTAAGAAATACCTCAAGTCACATAATTCCCACAGCTCTTTATGTGTAAAGAGTAAGAACCCATCTACTATAAGTACTGCTGTAGAGGATAGTGGTTTGTTTATATCTAGAGGAGGCGGAGGAGAATTCATGTACTGTAATGGCGAGGATCCTATGACAGTTTTAATATCCTTCATCATTCTCTCCATATCTATACACGTTATGACATCCCAGTTGTGATAATTGGTACATCCAGGTGCTGGAATATGGTGAGAGGAGTCCCTTGGGTAAAAGTAGTTGTCTTGTGTGATGTGGTGGGAAGGTATGTTACGGTGGAGACGGTTGGCTAGGCTAGACTTGCCCCCACCCGTCACCCCTGAGATGCCCACCACCAGCCATCGCGCCATCTGCCTCAGTGCTTCCTCGTGTTGTTTAAGCTCACTCACTGTAATAACCAAAACGCACATAGATAAGGAAGGTTTGCTTTAGGGTACTTGGTGTTTTATCTACAATCTTAGCAGTTATTTGATAATATGAATATTGTCTATATACCTGTATTATCTACAGTATATACCTGTAATATCTATATACTTGTATTGTTTATATACCTGCATTGTCTACACCAGTGATGCTTAAACTGGGGGGACGCGCCCGATGATTCAAGGGTGGCGCGAGCGGTCCGTGAGAAGTGTAGTCAGGAACTGAACGCGTGTTGTACACAATTGCTCATCCCTCCCACTCTATAATAACCAAGGGGGGGGGGGGAGACAAACAAGTTTAAGAACCACTGGTCTATACTGTATACATGCTGGATGAATGTAAACTTGTAAAACGATTTTAATACAGTATTTATCTTATCAATCCAAATAAATAAATATAACTAAACTATCGCTGGATATTGTCGTTAAATTCAGTATGGTTCAGGGTGTTAGCCCAGCCAGCCACCATGAGAACACCAAATTTCTTTTGACAATATTGTATTGGTCCGTTTATATATATATATATATATATATATATATATATATATATATATATATATATATATATATATATATATATATATATATATATATATATATATATATATATATCAAAGCACAAAGCAGGGATAGGACACACACTTGTAGTTTCTCTCATTTATTTACTCTAGAAATCACCCGAGAAGGAAAAGGCTGGGACCTAGATCAGACATAACTAGTTATTATACATTATTACGTTATACTTACAAAACAAGCATCAACTGTTGTCATATTCACATATTGGTACCACACAGTAGTAGGAATTAAACAATAAATAATAAACCCAACCCACCAGCATAACACAGGGGAGTGGCTGTTGTTGTCGACTCACTCCAGGGTGAATGTCTGTAGAGCAAAGCTAGAATTAGCCTTATTCTGGCTTATAGACTACCTCCACGAGATCATCACATTCTTCATATAACATTTATTATGCTCAATCTATCAAACACACCCTATCAGAGCAAGAAATACGTGGGACACACCTGTTACTGGGCCCACCCGACGCGTCTTTGTTATGTAAACAACGCCGTAGCGTCTCTCCACCCTGGGCTGGGATGCATTCGCTCCTGGCGCAAATTCCATTTCAAACCCACAAAATATATTTAGGTTTTCCTCCTCGGAGCTTACAAAAATACATATCCATATCAATAATATTCTAAATCACAAAATAGTTGTCTCTGAGTTCCTCATACCACACATATCTCTCTATATATATATATATATATATATATATATATATATATATATATATGTATATATATATATATATATATATATATATATATATATATATGTATATATATATATATATATATATATATATATATATGTATATATATATATATATATATATATATATATATATATATATATATATATATATATATATATATATATATATATATATATATATATATATATATATATATATATTATATATATATATATATATATATATATATATATATATATATATATATATATATATATATATTAGTTCTGGAGCTAATTAGTGGCTTGGCTGAAGTGAACACTGCAGGTACTGAGTTAAGTTGAGAGTATATTGTACCTTCTCTGCTTAAGGAAGTGTCTTAGTGCACTTATATAGAACACTTAAGTGTTTACTGGGTAACTAAGTGATATGAGTCTGCCCGCTCTCTCCTGCTCAGGCGTGAGACACAAGGAGGAGCAGGCGAGCTATTTGCAAAATCAGCTTGACCTGTGGCTCAACCTCTGATGAGTACAGACCTCAGCCGTTACCAACAACAACTGAGTCATGATCGAATAACTTAGTGAATAATTGGGTATTATACATTTGGGTGAATATTTATATAATGCAAATGATGCTGTTACAATATCACTCAACAATATAATTAGGATAACTTGGATAAATATATACAGGGTCATTTATTGATTCAACAACCCCAAATAAATACCATATTCTAGGACGTGTAATAAACAGCCTTCTTAGTAAATATGACAAATTTTGTGACAGGAGGTACCGGTATGGCCAGCATAAGGACAGAACCAGACAATGTGATGTAGTCGTGGCCAGAATTAGGCTAGGATACAGACACATCTGGCAAGTTAGTAACGCTGTACCCATACCGGAACATTCAGCATGTAAACTTTGTGATAAACCTTTAAAGCATACACTTGAACACTATATTACTGAATGTGACACTGTCAAAGACTTCAGGCCACCTGACTTATTGTATCTTGAACTATGTAATTACTACATTGAATCAGGGGTGCTTCAGGACATTCTTGCTGTTTATCCCAAATTTGCTAGCCCACACTGATTAGTCTTCAATTAGAATATGACTCCAATGTATGTGATCCACTGACCTATATATGCTGCTGGTGAATGTGATGTATTTCCTTCTTTGTGTACGAACCTCTGTCCTGCGTGGCAGTGAACAGTGGCACTACCCACATGAATCTGACCTATATATAGTGTCAATGAATATGATGCCTTCTTTGTGTACGAACCTCTGTCCTGTATGGCAGCGAAGAGTGACATTACCCACATGAATCTGACACACACACATATATATATATATATATATATATATATATATATATATATATATATATATATATATATATATATATATATATATATATATATATATATACACTGTCAATGAATATGATGCATCTCTTTGTGTATGAACCTTTGTCCTGCGTGGCAGTGAGAAGTGATAACACCCTCAGTGTCAAAACCTGACTGAATTACTCAGAATAGGCAATCTGTACTACAAGCTTTGCCAATAAATTTGTTAAACTTAAAATTGAAGCCTCCTCGATTAATACAAAAATAACCATTGACCCTGTGTAATTAACTCCACTTACCTTGAGCTATAGACAGGATATAACCTCGCCTTCTCACCCCTGTTATCTTACTGCCGCGCCCCGCTTAGTGCCCTTACTTTTTAAACATTAATAGATAACACGCAGTTGCCAGTGAGGGATAACAGTGTATTAGTGTATTCTACCGCAAATAAACACATAAATGATTAATATAAACTAAGAATAATGATAATTTAATTTAAAAGTATTGTTAAATAATAAATACGGTATTTTAAGTATATCGAGTCATGACATAATTGACGAGGCTTTCTGTTATTGTTGTGGTAATCTAGAGACATGTGTTGTGTCTCCTTCTTTCACTTTTATCTATTAAGTTTCATTCATTTTTCAGTAGATTATAGATTATTGATATACTATATGTGGGTGGATAGTTATAATAGTCATAATAGTAGTGGGAGTGTAATAGTACAGTGATAAATGGTTAATCTCGTAAGTCTCAGTCAAAATGGCCGCCCTGATACTTCCTAGTGATGGACGTTTCTGCTCTTAGCTACAGATATTTGTGAGAAAATTGACAATATTGATTTAAATTTTCATAATCCTTTTGTTTTTTCATAGTTTTTGTGGAAATGCGAAATATTTTAATCCTTCTTTCTTTATCCTACGTAAACTTACCAGTGTCGTTCACAAACTCTGTTTTAAAATTATCGATCAAATATTTTTTTAATTTCTGAAAACGATAATGAAAATGACTTTATTTTCTATTTTTTTCAGAAGAGGTAAGTTGTCAGTCATACACAAAGGTCCATTACTCTTAACTCGCCGTCACTCCTCAGGTAAGGATTGTCTCTCCTCTTGTGATTCTTAAATAGATGGATAAATGATTCTGGTTTTTATTGAGTACTGGATGAAGTATTATTATTATTTGTATTACTATTGTTATTGTTGTTATTATTAGTTGAGGACTCCAGCGAGAGACAGCAAATGGCCCCCAAAAAAAATAAACAAAAAACAATCTTAATAACGAAGGAAAACAAAAACACTGGTAATACTTAACGAGAAGGACACATTAAACATCTGTTAATATATCAAGTACTTTATTATTATCTATATCTTAGCTCATATATACAATCAAATATATATGTAAGCTTATTAATTTAGATATATAGACAGATATATAGCCTAATATATGGACAGCTTGATATTACTAAAACAGTACAGGGATAATTAGTCGTCTTGGTGTATGACATTATATTTCGTGAGTTTAATTATTTCAAGATGTACTTTTAGGAGGAGGAAGTTGTTTGATTTGATTTTTGTCTTGTGCAACAAAGTGATTTATTTTTTTCTTATGCAACAACGTGATTTATTTTTTTAATGCTTCTACTTTGTGATTTTACTTCTGCAACATGTGATTGGGTAAGGCTGAAGTTGGGAGATGTTGGTCGGTTTTCCATAACACATTCTCAAGACACACAAACTCCCGTAAGGTTCTGGGGTAAAGGACTTGGGTGTTTACCTATTATCTGTCTGGAAAGAGAGCGTCTCATAGGACCTGTTGGTTTTTTTTATGTCAGTTTGTCAGGTTATGAGAAGCAATTCCACCGTCGTCATAGTTTAGTAGTTATGCCACATTTCTTCGGTATGTTGGAGGACGACCAGGAGGACTCGAGGAGCAGTGTTGTGGGACAGCGTTGATAGGAGGAACCTTAATCCTTGTCGGAGTGTTGTATGTGAGGACTCAGGATGACTTTTGACGATCTTATAGAGACGTGACCTTAGCCAAACACACTACGTACTGCACCTTCTTCCTGAAAACAGTATATTCATTAGTTTATCTGGACAAGAGAGAAATGTTGGGATTCTTGATAACTTAACTGGAGGCATCAATGGGCTGGCCAACACACAAGGGACCGTGTTTAGTGGATTACTTTGCACCGCCGCGTCAGTACTCGACACCTGTGACATGAGTATTGTGGGATTTTCATTAAGTTAAATATAGCTAAAACAAAAATCTTCCTTCACGGAGATTTATTATCGTTTAGTAGGTGATGACAGATTGGTATTTGAGTATGTGGCGGCCTAGTGGTTGTATCACTTGCCTCAACGATCGGTGATTCTGTTCTCGAGGCCGGCTACTGTGTAGGTACCCCTAGTCGACCCAGTTGCAGAATGTATACCTGACTCTATATAGTAGTTGGGAAGTAAATGGCGAGGCGTGTGGTATGGGCCTCGCTGTTTTCGTGTGTAACATTGACAGTTTATATATTACCTATTACATGTTTGTTGGGATGTTGTTGTTGATGGTGGCTGGCGGGGAAGGAGGGCAGTAGGGCTGTACGACAACTTCAAACACTTCCTGCTTCTTCTTCTTGTACTCTGCCAGCCGCACGATGCCATACCTGGGGGTCCCGGGAGAATTTTAGTTTAGTTACCCATTCAACGTTTTCTGTATATAGACCCGTTTTCTATATTTAGACCTTGCGAGTAATTCATTATAATATTTTGACTATTTACGTCCTCATATGTACACACACCATCAATTGGATTTTCTTTTTATTTAGCATTTCAAACTTGTCAGTGTAATGTTCTTGTTATTACTTTCATTGTCTAGTGTTAAGAGAAGTTATCAATACGCAAAACTGCCTTATGTTTTTGGAGGAAGAGTTTTGAAGTGTTGTAATCACCCGCTAGAAGATGTTGTGTGTTGTGACGAGAGTCTAGACCAACACTGACCGCCACATGTTCAGGGTACTGTTGAGGACATCACCACTCTTTACCCGCTCTCCGTGGAAATTTCCCCAACTGTACACGTAAGAGCCCGTACATTCCTAGTACTTGTCAATGATATATAACAGAGAAGAGACCGACCGGGTAGTGAGGTTGTAGACTAACACTTACTGTATATAGTCGAAGTCTATGGAGGAGTGACAAGCCTGGAGGAAAGCCCACATAACCCAGAAGAGATGAGAAGCCAGGGTGAACTTGGTGACCCAGCCTAACCACATCTCCACCTCCTGGGACGTGACCTGATCTTCTGGCAGCCCGTGGTAATGCGCCAAGTAGCTCTTTAGCCACGCCCTCTGTACAGCAAGACTCGGGAACAGGCTGTAATCTTGCTCCTCGACCCCTGTAACACCAACCCTTCGTCAGTAGAATTATTGTTGTTTGCTAGGTCTTAGTTTTAGCATCGTTCACTGGGTCTTAGAGTAGCCAGAAGGGCGAGAGAAGTGGTATGATGATGATGATGATGATGAAGGAGTTGTGAGGGAGTGAGGAAGAGACGAGGTAACGGGAGGAAGGGAATAGAGAGATGAGAAGGATTAGAAGGGTGCGCATGTGTGTGTGTGTGTGTGTCTGTAAAAGTTAACTTGAGTACAAACGTGCAGAAATGTTGTTGTGGGATGGTGACACTGCCCGACTCCTCCTCTACTACTACTACGGTGTTTTACATAGCCAAATAAACAAAATGATCACATGAAGATTAGGCACCCCAGTTTATTTCACCTGAAGATTAATCCTCTAATTCTCACCACACACACACACACACACACACACACACACACACACACACACACACACACACACACACACAAAAGACCTCCTCACCAGAATATTCATTAAAATGGTTAGCGATATCATAAGGTTGGTAGTTGTGAGAAGCGTATTCATAGTCGATGAAGGTGGCTGAGGCAGAGTCCTGGTCCCAGATGATGTTCCTCATGACCAAGTCGTTGTGGCAGAAGACGACGGGGCAGGAGAGGGGCACAAGGTGGTCCTCCAACTCCTCTGTCATCCTCACGAGTTGTTCCCTGGTGCAGCCTTCAGCCTCCACCCTGGATCAAACACAACACGGTGAAAATAGTGGTAATGGGACTAATACCCGTGACTAATCGATAACTAGGCCAGTTATGTGACGCACTTGGCCAGGTTATGTGACGCACTTGGCCAGGTTATGTGACGCACTAGGACAGGTTATGTGACGCACTAGGACAGGTTATGTGACGCACTTGGCCAGGTTATGTGACGCACTTGGCCAGGTTATGTGACGCACTTGGCCAGGTTATGTGACGCACTCAGGACAGGTTGGTGACGCACTAGGACAGGTTATGTGACGCACTAGGACAGGTTATGTGACGCACTAGGACAGGTTATGTGACGCACTAGGACAGGTTATGTGACGCACTAGGACAGGTTTGTGACGCACTAGGACAGGTTTGTGACGTACCTGTGTTGCATCTTAGGGTCGGTGAAAGTGTCAGGAAGCAGAGCGAGCAATTGGCGAAGCTTCGGAAAGAGTATGGCCTTCTGCTTATCACCAGCCTACAGGATACAACAACACACCTCAGTAACACAACAACACACCTCAGTAACACAACAACACACCTCAGTAACACACCAACACACCTCAGTAACACACCAACACACCTCAGTAACACACCAACACACCTCAGTAACACACCAACACACCTCAGTAACACAACAACACACCCTGCAACACAAACAACACACCTCAGTAACACAACAACACACCCAGTAACACACCAACACACCCTCAGTAACACAACACACCAGTAACACAACAACACACCAGTAACACACCAACACACCTCAGTAACACAACAACACACCCCAGTAACAACACACCAACACACCCCAGTAACACAACAACACACCCTTGCAACACACACCAACACACCCCAGTAACACACCAGTAACACAACAACACACCTCAGTAACACTCCTCAGTAACACACCAACACACCTCAGTAACACACCAACACACCTCAGTAACACACCAACACACCTCAGTAATACACCAACACACCTCAGTAATACAACAACACACCTCAGTAACACAACAACACACCTCAGTAACACTCCTCAGTAACACACCAACACACCTCAGTAACACAACAACACACCTCAGTAACACTCACAGTAAGGTTACATACACACACCTCATCATTTTTTTTGTATTTCTAGTCATATATCCATCACTGTATTAATTATCATACATAGAGAGGTTACCTGTCTACCTCTCATTAACGGCTTCCTCACCTGTATCTTGTGGAACCTGGCTGCCTGTCTGGTCACTCCACGCCACACGGGTTCCTTGGTGACGTCCCTGAAGGTTAGAGGAACCCCGGGGGTATAGGCGTAACAGAGGCCGTTGGTGAAGGCAGCGAATACTTCTGGCCCACAACCCGCCTTATGCACTACCTGTACCCACGAGAACAAGGTTAGTGACTTCTCTCCCCTAGTTGTTATGGAGCTATTTAGTGCACGTGCTGAGAGACCCTAGTTGTTGTGTTGTGGAGCTATTTGGAGTACTAGCTTAGAGACTAGTGTTGTGTTGTGCTTCGTCGTTGTTAGACATGAATATATGGCAAACAACAACAACACTAAAAACATTAACAAAACTCCTGGATCACATTGATGGTATGATGTGATGTGTCTATGGTGTGGTGCAGTGTGTATGGTGTGTTGTGGTATGGTATGGTGTGCTGTAGTGTAGAGAGTGTGGTGTTGTGTAGTGTGGTGTTGTGTAGTGTGGTGTTGTGTAGTGTGGTGTAGTATGTATGGTGTTCTAGTATGATGTGTCTGGGAATGTTTTAAGCGGTACAGTCACATAGTTCTGTAATGAGATTAGTAAGATAAGAGTACAAACGGGTACAGTACCTCCCTCCTGTAACCAACCAGCCATAACTCATTTATCTTGATTTAATTAAGAACTTTACCTTTAAACACCACAAATATAATTTTGTAAAGAATGTGTCTAGAACAAAATAAAGTCCTTCTTTAAGCCACTACATACCTACATACATACATACATACATACATACATACATACATACATACCTTCATACATACCTACCTACCTACCTACATCCATACATACATACCTTGAGGGTGTTGATCTCCTGCACTCTGTCGATGAACAGGTGTGTATTGTGGCCGTAGACTCTGACCAGTACCTGCTCGCCCTCCCGGCCGTACGACACCCCCACCAGGGTATTGGTCACCCCCGACGTGTAGGTCTGTTCACGACACAGCAGGTTAGGTTAATCTCTCTCTCTCTCTCTCTCTCTCTCTCTGATCATGCTTCTTGTTAATAAATATACACACACAAAAAGTTAAATCATGCTTTAAAGTTGGTCACACACACACACACACGTAATACCAGTGTTAGTGTAGTCTGATAATTAAGCTTACCTTGAAGTGTAGGTTGTGGTGTTGCCAGTGTGGACGAAGATACGCCAGTACCCTCGTGGCACCGGCCTGTAGTCCCGCCTCCGTAGTGCCATCCACCACCACTGCCAGTGTCCTCACCATCTGTAGTGCCAATAGTGCCAGGAGTAGTTAGTGTAGGTTTGGGGTAGGTCAGGTCAGGTCAAGTCAACTTTGGTTTGGTTAGTGTAGGTTGGGTTGGGTTAGGTTGAGTGTGGTGTATGTATGTATGTACAGTATGTATGTATGTATGTATGTATGTATGTATGTATGAATGTATGTATGTATGTATGAATATAAATATGTTTGTATACGTGTGTGTGTTTAACTGTGTGTATGGGTATATATGTATGTATGTTTGTACGTCTATATATGTGTGTGTGTGTGGCCCCTCGGACAGGACAGAACGGCAGGATGGAGGCGCGTGACGTCTCCAACAGGACGGTAACAATTATGGAACTCCGGACAGGGACAAGACATGATATGTGTTTATTATGTGGAGCACCTGAAGAATAGCCCCCTTCCCCAGCTTATGTCAAATGATAAGTTAACATCCTCTACTAAACCTAATCTAACCTAATCTAATCTAACCTAACCTAATCTAACCTAACATAATACTAACCTAGTACTAACCTAATCTAACCTAACATAATACTAACCTAATCTAACCTAATACTAACCTAATCTAACCTAACATAATACTAACCTAATACTAACCTAATCTAACCTAATACTAACCAAGCCTAACCTAATCTAACCTAACACTAATCTAACCTAACACTAATCTAACCTAACACTAATCTAACCTAACATAATACTAACCTAATACTAACCAAACCTAATCTAACGTAATACTAACCTAATCTAACCAAACCTAACCTAACCTAACCCAATCTAACCTAATCTAATCTAACCCAACATAATACTAACCAAACCTAATCTAACCCAATACTAACCTAATCTAACCAAACCTAACCTAACCTAATCTAACCTAACCTGGTCTAATCTTAATCTAATCACAGTTCGAGGTCATTTTTCGTGTCTCTTCCAACCTAGAGCTGGACGTATGTGTGTGTGCAGGGAAGATAGTGGTGGAGGAAGATTGGTGGTGATGGAGGAGGGAGGGAGTGTTGGAGGAGGAAGGTGGTGAGGGGCCGAGCTTCCTGTAACATTATGAACAGCTCGGCAGGTCTGGTGGTGAAGAGGGAGCTGCCCACTCGCTGAGGCTCCCACACAACAAGTTGGTATAGCCGGGTCACGTCCTCTCTCTATCTCTTTCTTTCTTTCTTTTACCTCTCTCTCTCTCATTCTTCCTTATCTCTCTCTCTTTTCTTCTCTCTCTCTCTCTCTCTTTCTTTTGCCTCTCTCTCTCGTATGCACTCAGAGGGACGTAGATCGACAAGGTCAGTGATAAATCGAACGTGACTGACTAATGGTTGATGTAGTACGTGTCTGTCTGTCTGTCTGTCTGCCTGTCTGTCTGTCTGTCTGTCTGTCTGTTCGTGTGTCCGCGGTGTATCAGAACATTAGAGTTACAGTAGTCGTTTTAGTTAATAATTTCTTTAGTGTTATTTATCCTTACTAACTGGTTACCTCACTAAATAACTCATAATTTACTAACTCAGCTCTCTCTCTCTCTCTCTCTCTCTCTCTCTTCAGGTGTGTGATATACTGGGGTGGCAAATCTTCAGGTTATGCAAATATTCATTCAATCGTCACTTATATAAGACAACAGCGATTCCATGCACTCATGTCCTTCCTGTCATCATGAGGGGTCAGGTAAATGTTGTCGTCACGGAACAAATTAGATGGATCCTCAGGTGTCCGAGTCAGGTAGCAACTTAACAATGTGTTCAAGTTTTCTGTCTAAACGTATACTAGTAACGTGAATGATCTGAAGATTAGGCACCCTCTGTGTGTGTGTGTGTGTGTGTGTGTGTAAAAGGGCTTTCATAATGTGTTGAGGTGACAAAATATTGGTCATACCAGTTGTTAACCCGCAACATCACACACACACACACACAAGGACCCTCGTGTACTGACATAATTCATCCGTCTTACCAAGGTAGAGAGAGAGAGAGAGAGAGAGAGAGAGAGAGAGAGAGAGAGAGAGCTGAGTTAGTAAATTATGAGTTATTTAGTGAGGTAACCAGTTAGTAAGGATAAATAACACTAAAGAAATTATTAACTAAAACGACTACTGTAACTCTAATGTTCTGATACACCGCGGACACACGAACAGACAGACAGAGAGACAGACAGACAGGCAGGCAGGCAGGCAGACAGACAGACAGACAAACACGTACTACATCAACCATTAGTCAGTCACTCCTCTTATTATTTGACCAATACGTAATAAGTTCGTCGAATTTATAATATATTTTTTTTAAATTTCAGTAATAGAATAAGATAAAACTCTATACACAAATGGAAAGTCTTGACATTAAGGAACAACTGTAAGGTTTCAGTCAGACATTTACACTAACGCTCTATTTCCTCTCCTTCCCCCTCTCCTCCTCTCCTTCCCCCTCTCCTCCTCTCCTTCCCCCTCTCCTCCTCTCCTTCCCCCTCTTCTGCTCTCCTTACCCCTCTCCTCCCACTTTTCCCTTAAAAACGACACCAAGATAAATGCAATAGACAATATACAGAATTAAGGAACATTTACAAGGAATTTGTTTTCATTATTCTCAGCAACATTGCCTAAGTTACATCATGGTTCACAGTTCAACGTTGACTGGCAAAACAAAGTGTCAGTGTATGTGATCTTTGACGGGCGGCGGTGTTCCTATTTTATCCTCTCGCCTGGGTTATTTCCTCGTGTACGGTGTATCAGTTCAATAGAGGAAGGTGGGATTGTGTTTTTCTGTGAGCACTGTTGCTGGGGCGGATCCAGGAATATAAAAAGCGGAGGGGGGAGTCCAAGAAGTTGTGGGTGAGGGAACATGGCGAGCACACGGAGCTGGGGGGTTGAAATCTGACCAATATCATGGGCATTTTGAGGTCATTTTGAAGCCATGTACACTTGATATTAGGAGATACTCTAAGGTCAATAGTAATTACTTTTCACTATACAAAAATGCTTGAGTTCAATATTGTATTACAGAAAAATTATTGGAAATTTCTGATGAAAAGGAGGGTCCGGACCCCCTGTGTTGGTGCTTACGATAAGATACGAATTTTATCCAATTTAAGTTAACCTAACATAATCTGGTCTAATTTAACCTAACACTAACCTAAATCAAGCTAACACTACCTTAACCTAACGTAACAATAAATTTAATTATTAAATTACACAATATTATCCCCCAAATAAATCGTTGACATAATTATTATTAGAGTTTTAAGCTCTCGTTGTGGGCCAGATTAAAATATTCATCACCACTGTTCTTAAGAGACCCATGTTTGTCTAAGTGGTGAACCGCAGAACGAAATATATAAATTTTGGACAGTAAACAATACCTGTATGATGACCGTAGGTAAACAATATGATGGTCGTATGTAAACCTTATCACATGTCCCAACAGGACGAAGAAACTGCATTAATAGAGACCTGGGTGGGTACAGTACAGTATGTTGACAATAAACTGAAGTTGTCGAGTCATCGTGAGAAGAAGGTGAATCATGCAACTAAAATATTAGGTCTTATAAGAAGGTCGTTCAGATATCTAGACGGTCAGTCCCTCTTAACGGTATTCAAGAGTGGGGTGCTTCCTCACCTGGAGAACTGTCACCCCGTCTGGTCCCCGAGATATGCTAGGAACTGTCAGTTGCTTGAAAATGTCTAAAGGAAGCATGCACTTCGGCACCTCAGTTATCCAGAGAGATTAGAGCGCCTGCAACTGCCTAGCTTCTACTACAGAAAGGCAAGGGGCGACCTAATTGAGGTGTATAAGCATCTCAGAGGGCACTACTCAGTCGAGTGTCCTTACTTGGAGCCGTAAGTCCAGAAAACTGTGAGGGCAAACTTTTTCGGAGTGAGAGTTGTGAACTCTTGGAACAATCTGCCAGAGAGTGTGAGCTGTTTGAAGACCAGACTTGACCAGCACTGGAGCAGGTTCAGATATATTCAGGAGCCAGTGCATTCCGAGTACTTGTCAACAGTGTATAACAGAGACGCGACCGACCGCCCACGAGGATAAAAGTAATATGAAAGCCGTATGTAAACAATAGGTGAGGGTGACCATACATAAACTATAAATAAGGGGGCCGTGCGGTACATAAACAAAATCACATCATTATCGGAAGAAAAAATGACTAATAAAATTATAAAAACCTGGACGATGTTGTGGAGGTAAAGGTGGTACGTATACACAGCTTCAGGGGTAGGGTAGGTGACGGAGCGGCGGTGTTTGGTGGCAGTGGAGAGGGTCAGACGCGACTGGCAGCAACTTCCTCCCTTGACGGACGCCCTGACTAAGCCACCCAGCCCAACCCTGACACACACACACTCTCAATCACTGTTGCCATATGTCCCTGGCTGTCTCTCGCTGCTCTCTCTAACTCTCACTAGATAAATAGCTAGATAGATACAGAGAGTTGCATACATACACCAGGGCACAAGTCACCTGGGGGCGAAAATTGCACCATAAATAAATTCAGAAATGAAAAAAAAAATAGGACAAATGAAGAGTGAGAAACGATATATGTTTGTTGTGTTGTCACAGTAAGAGACACACTTGACTCTGTAATTGTGTGAAAATGAGGCAGAAACTCAGATCAGCAACCTGGGACTTGGTCACATAATAATAATGGTTGCCCCTCGTGTAACGAGGATGGCCGGTTAAAGGGCCACCTAGGCGTAAATTAGTTTAACATAAGAACATAAGGAGTCTGCAATAGGCCGGTTGGCCTGCGCCTGGCAGCTCCTGTCGAGAGTTACTACCACACTCTATCATCCATGAATCTATCTAGCCTCCTTTTGAAACTTTCCAGAGTTCCCGCACTTACTACAAAGTTGCTAAGCTTGTTCCACTCGTCCACCACCCTATTTGTGAACCAGTTTCTTCCTATCCCCTTCCTAAACCTAAACTTATCCAACTTGAATCCGTTGCTCCGAGTCCTACCCTGCTCGGATATTATAAGAACTTTATCTATATCCCCTTTATTGATTCCTTTCACCCACTTAAATACTTCTATCATATCTCCCCGCACTCTTCGTCTTTCTAGGGAATGCAAGTTAAGTTTCTTTAACCTATCCTGATATGGAAGGTTTCTAAGTCCAGGAATCTTTTTTGTCATTCTTCGCTGCACCGACTCTAGTGAATTTATATCCATTCTATAATAGGGCACCAGAACTGAACCGCATAATCGAGGTGGCCTGGACTAGCGCAAGATATAAAGGCAATACATTCTGCACTCTTGTTACTTACACTTCTAGATATAAAACCCAATACTCTGTTTGCCTTATTTCGAACATTAACGCACTGTTTTCTAGGCCGTAGGTCCGGGCTTACAAGTACCCCTAGGTCTCTTTCACAAGTCGACTTCTCCAGGTTGATGTTGTTAAGGCTGTATATATTATAAGTATTTGTTCTTCCAATATTAAGTACGCTGCACTTGCTGGTGTTGAAGCTGTTGAAGGTGTAGAAGCTGTCGCCAACACAACAACCACACCCTAAATTAACGAGCTGCATGACCCAGTGTCAAGGAATAGTCCGAGAACACCGGACAACTCGCCAACTGCACTGGCTCACCATTACCCCAGAATACGATCCGCAAGTCGATTAACATCCAGGTCTCCAATTACTGCTGGGTAGACAGAGACAAATGTAAAAAAACTTGCCCATAGTTTCACCCTGCCCGGGGATGGAACCCGGGTCACATAAGGCAACAGTGTATACCATTAGACAACACATTATGCTTCCAATATCTTCCCAGGCGGTAGTACCTTCCCGTTTGGTAGCTGCCTACTATCTATCTATCTATCTTTCTATGACTATGCAGTAATAACATTGAAATAGTTCCCGGGTGACGTCATACACCAACAATGGATGTAGTTTGTAAACATCGTCTCTGATTGGTCAATTAGATCTCTCTTCATTAACAATCCCAAGAAAGTAAGTGACGAGATGAAGTAGATCACCTGAAGATTAACCCACCAGCTTATTTTACCTCATGATTCAACATCCTAATCCTACCCTGGGGGGGGGGGTTAGGTTAGGTTAGCTTCGGATGGGTTACATTACAGTAGGTTAGGTTAAGTTACGTGATATTAAATTTGCTTAGCTTAGCTTGGGTTAGGTTATGCTAGGTTAGGTTAGGTTATGGGATATTATATTAGCTTAGATTAGATTAGATGATGTAAAGTTAGTTTAATTTAGGTCAGATAAATTTTAGGGTTTTTACTCATCAGTTGGAATAATCTGGGGTGCCTAAATAGATCTTCAGGTGACCCCAATATCTCTGGCCTTCACTTAATCTGACAACACCTCACCTTTGGATGTTGGAGGTGACCGACGATATTGCTGCCTCACATAACGGCAAGTCTTTCCTAACCCCAACCTCAGACCTCAAACACACACTCACCAAAACAATATTGATTGTAAGGGCGGAAACGATCCTCCGGCTGGTTACCGCTGCTAACTCGCTCGTTTGCTGGTGCAGACGACACTTGGGGTGGTTGGACGGAGGTGTGAACGGCAGCGACTATCTGCGCCACCAGGCGATTCAACCCAGCCGCCATACCGTCAGTATCTAGCTACCCTGCTGTCCGTCAAATTCTGGCTGTGATCTCATCATAGGTCCTGGACTCGTGGGCTGTGTTCCCAGACCTTCACCTATCAACTGCCAACTCTCTGGTCATCTACCACTACCGCATACCCCGACCGTCAGTTCCTTACATTCCGTCTGTGTCCCGGTGTTCTGCCTTTTCAAGACGTCGCTGAGTGTGGAGTGAATGGACGCTTCTCTACCCTGAGTGTGCATCACCGTGTTCCAGAACCTTCCCCCAGGGCCACTGCCGTAGGAAATATTTGTTCATGGTTTGATTCTATAATTGTTTGATTCCATTAATTGCTGACTCCCCTTTATTGTTCGATTCTATCAATTGTTGACTCCATTTAATTGTTTGAATCCATTAATTGCTGACTCCCATTATTTGTTTGATTCCTTTAATTGTTTGCTTCCTTTAATTGTTTGACTCCATTAACTGTTGACTGCCTTATTTGTTTGACTCCCGTAATTATTTGAGGTTTGTTGAGTGGTGTCAGAGTTTTGTTATATTTTTTATAGTAAAGAGATGCCAATCTCAAACGGTTGTTTGTTATTCCTCAGAAAACCATGGTCCTTGACTTTCCTTTATTAAGATCCTGATTAGCCTGGTAAGGGATTTCTATCCCTAAGTCCCAGGCCTTTACAAGTGGCGACCTTGCCAGGATTGTCTCTGACCTTTGGTTTCTGAGGTTTAACATTCGTTCCGGTGTTGTTGTAAGTCGCCGTGAGCGCGCCACCTTGCTGTCTGTGGCCCGGAAGCAAGTGTTGTTCAGTGGTTATCCCTTCCTTCTGTGTGCTAATTTTGTTGCTCTCCCTTGTACTTGGGGAAGTTAATTAGTGTTGGTTGGGGTGCACTGTGGATGCTGTCATAGCATTTTTGTTTTCACCTGGTGCGGTTTCGTTACCCTGAGGTGATTCAGCTGGGCTGGGTGCGGAACAGGTTCCCTCCAGTCGGATCAAATCATTTACTGGTCTGATTGAGCCACTAGGCGAGTTACTTTTGGCTATTTGCGGGGTAAGTTGTTTGTTTTTTCCTTTGTTCTTGGCCTTTCGGATCATTATGTCTGCTTTTGAGGTGTGGAAAGGTCAAGCGGTGGCCCTGGGTGTGACAGGTAATGACATTGGTCAGTATGTGGTCACCCAACAGAATGCCGAGAGAGGAAGAAAGAGTTGGAGGAACGCCGAAAGAGGTTGGAGGCAGAGAGAGAGAGTTCGAATTAGCTATAGTGCGACAGAAAGACCTAGAACTGGCTGGATTAATGCTTAAACCAGACTCATCTCCATCACAAAACAATGTGATAAAACTGCTCCTGTACGTGAAGAACATCGCCTCCTCATAGGTTTGAGCGGGTGCCGAGCTTTGGCGGTGTTAGCTATGCTGTAAGGTTGGGTAGCCTACTGGTAGCCATTACACTTCCTTGTCTGCATCACAGATTCTTCTTGTTGAAGCAAGCTCTCTTGCGAGGATTTTGCAAGACTTCGGCGGTTATCGTGCTGATTTCCGGAACGAAGATTAGAGCAGGAGAAACGTACCAGCAGTTTTCGTTTCCCTGGGTCGTTTATTTCAACAATGGCTGGGACATAAGGGTTGAAGAAACTTCTCCATGACTTCTATCATATTACGTATTCAGTTTTGTCTTTACCTAGACTTGAAATTTTCATTAAAGAACACCAGCCAGCTGCCATATTGCCGACAACTGGGCGTCTGCTTCTAGTCTTCCTGGTGAAGATTGAAGCCTCCGTCCTCCGAGGGCATCCCCAGGAATACATAAAGGTTCATCAGCCGTGCGGTGTCACAGCTGCGGGGAAGGGCACATTAGTTCTCGCTGTCCCAGGAATCCCTTGCTTTAAACTGCTGACATCCTCACCAGCAACAAGGTAGGGCTGTTTGGAGGACAGAGACCCCCCGTTGTGTCAGTGGAACAATCAATGGGTCTAGGGCATCTACTTTCATCAGTTTGCTCGTGCATTGTCTCTGAAGCTGCCTGGCATCCAGCTGCCCGAAGGTTAGTGTGAATTATTTCTGGTTGACCAGTTCTGTGTTGGTGCCCTATTTCACTGGTTGGTCTAATGTGGTAAAATACCATTGCTGGTGTCCTCTGGTAATGTTCCGTGTTCTGTGTGACCCAGGCTGTTAAACCTCCTGCACCAGTCCTCCGCCTGCTGACGACGACGCACCGCCACCTGCCGAGGTCGCCTGCCGCCAAGGTCCAAGCTGTAGGGACACGGACGGCGAAGGTGAAACGACCGCATCCCCTGATTCTGCCGAATTTGTTGCCACTGACTGTGACGCCCAAGGAGTTCGCCAAGCTTCAAGACTCGTGTGCCACTCTGAAGCGGGTAAGGGAGAAGGTGACTTCTGGGGAGGAGGATCAGGTGAGAGATGGGTCGGTTTATAAGTTTGTTTCTATTAATGGGGTGTTACACAGGTCTTGTGTTTCATCCAAGCGACCAGCTAAAGTAGGTCGGTTTTTACTTGTTGTCCCTGCTGTTTGTCGTAGTAACATTCTCTCTGTAGCTCACAAGAGCCCTCTAGTAAGTCCCTGTTCTCGTAGGAAAACTTATAGGAAGGTTGCTGATCAGTTTTACTGGCCAGGTATGGGAGCGGATATTAGAGCTTTTTGTAGTTGTGATCAGTGCCCACGTATGTCCGCCAAGGGTAGAGTCCGTCCTGTTCCACTTGAACCCTTACCCGTCATTGCAGAACCATCTTCTCGGGTAGCCATAGATTTTG